GCCCCTTGGGGCCTTAAGGGGCCCCTGGGGGGCCCTTATAAGGGGCCCCAGAGGCCGAAAAGGGGAGTAGACTTTGGGCTCTGAGAAAAACAGAAAAAGTGAAATTTGAGTTTTCGAAGAAATGCATGCATGCGTGGAGGCTGGGGCCTCCCAAGTGTAGTGACACTTGAAAAGCCGCTTTATGAGCCCTTTGGAGAACTTGCAAGAGAATAAGAGGCCCCCTTGGGCCACTGCAAAAACGAAGAAAATAACACAAGACAGAAACATCTACAACACTAGGCGCAGCCAATTGCCTTATTAGAGTTAGTTTAAAGCAGCAGCAGCAGCCTGAAGCCGCTGTGGGCAAAAGCCCGGCAAAAGATTCAGATTGTTTCTGGGTTCCAGTGGGGGTCTTCTGGCCAAACAGGCCCCGACCAGAAACGCATGCGTACGAAAAGTGCTTCCTGTTTAAAATGCCAAAGTTGCAAAGTCGGAATTTTTGGACTTGATGCTCCAGCAGCGCCGCAGCTCTGAGACCCCATGCGAGGCCTTTCAGCAGCAAGGAAAAAAGGGCTTATTCACTTTTAAACAAATTTAAGTGACCCAGCATAAGGCTCTACAGGGGGCCCTAAGGATCCCAAAGAGGCTCTAAAGGCCCTATAGGGGGCCCTAATGGTTGTAGGGGGGCCCTAAAGATCCCAGAAGGGGCCATAAGGGTCTTTGAAGGGGTCCTACGGGGCCCAGAGGAGTCCCTTGGGGTCTCAGATGGGACCTTCAAGGTTTGTAACGGGGCTATAGGGGCCCCTCCGGGGGCCCTAAATGTCTTAGAGAACTTTATTTGTCCTCAGAAGTCGTAGGAGGTCTTGGAGGGTCCCCCCACGGGCCTTACAGGGGGCCTTAGGGGCCCTACATGAGGCCAGAGGGGCCCACAGGGTCTTAGGGGCCCCTAGGGGTCTCTACTTTGCAATACTTAAAAAGAAGTGCGCAGCACTACAGTGTAGCCCAGGAACAGCCTCAGGGGCCCCACAGTTCAAAATTTGGGGCTGAAACTTCAAGTAAAAGTAATTGTTCTCTAGAGAGAAATAACCCTTTTCTTCGCATTTAAAGCCGAACTAGGGACTGACAAGAGAAGAATTTAAAAGGCAATTTATTTTGAAATTTTTCTCAGAGAGAAGCCCCAGGTAGACTCCTTGGGGTCAGCTCTCTGCAGAAGTGCGGAGCGGGTGCATGCGAACAGATCTTGTTTTTTGCAATCTATATATATTTGCTATATTTTCGAGACCACCCCTAATGGGCTTTGAATGGCTAACCATTGCTTTGAGCTAACTCTCTCTTGTTTCTAGAAGAATGGCATTTGTTCTCGGCTTTTGGTTAAGAGTAATTCCTTTGAAGCCACCCCATCTGCTGCTGCTTTTCCTTGTTGCTGATTTTTAATTTAAAAAAGCAAAAGCAGAAGAAAGAAGGAAAACATGGCAATGAAGCCGGCAACTCCCACCTGCCTATTCAGTGTGAAGTTGCCCGTGGACTAAACCCTAAACCCTAAACCCGTGCAGCAGTGACTCACCAGCGCAGAGTAGCCCGCAGCTTCGAGCTCTTTACAGGAGACAGTGGGAGCCTCAGGCCTCGAAATGCCTTTCTCGGAAATCAACTTATTCGAAAAAAAGAAGAAAGAAAAAACGAAAAGTCAATTAAGCGCCGCCGCCCACAGCGCCCAAGCCTGGCCCCTCGAAAGCCTTCGAGTCTAGCCAAAGCCCAGCAGCCCCAAAGCCCCAAAAGAAGAAAACCCCACTAAGTTAACTAGCCATCGATTATTAACAGAACATAGTCCTTTTAATTACTAGTTTGGCCCCTTTACTTTCTAACACAGCCCCTTTAACTAGTAATACATGTTGGCTCACTAGACCCCACATAATAGTCCCCACTAACTAACCCCCACTAACTAGCCCCCAATAACTAACCCCCACTAACTAGCCCCCAATAACTAACCCCCACTAACTAGCCCTAACTTGCCAGTCCCCACTAAATAGCCCCCAATTGCTAGCCGCTTCTAAATAGCCCCCAGTTGCTAGTCCCCACTAACTAGCCCTTACTAGTCCCTTCTTAATAATCCCCAATTGCTAGCCCCACTAACTAGCCCCAACTAATTAGTCCCACTACCTAGCCCCACACTTACTAGCCCCACTAAATAACCAACACTTACTGGCCCCACTAAATAGCCCCACACTTACTGGCCCCACTAAATAGCCCCACACTTACTAGCCCCACTAAATAGCCCCCAATTGCTAGTCATCACTAACACTAGCCCTTAGTAGTCCCCGATAAGTGGCCCCACATAAGTGGCCCCACATTAGTGGCCCCACATAAATAGCTCCACATAAATAGCCCCACAAAAATGGCCTCACATAAATGGCCCCAAATAAACGGCCCCATATAAATGGTCTCACATAAATAGCCCCACATAAATAGCCCCACATAAATAGCCCCATATAAATGGTCCCACATAAATAGCCCCACATAAACAGCCCCAATAACGCCACTAAAACGCCCCCCAAGTGGCCCCAAAAGTCCCCACTAGTCCCCACGAACTCCCTTTACCCCCTCAAGCGCTTTAGCCCCCACAAGTCCCCACAAGTCCGCACAAGCCCTTAATAGCCCCCCAACTTCTTTAACGCCCTCTAGTCCCTTCTGTCCCCTTCTAGTCTCCTCTAGTCCCCTCTAGTCCTCAGAAGTCCCCTCTAGTCTCCACTGGCCCCCCTTGGCCCCCTGCAGTTCACAATAGCCCACAATAGCCCGCAGTAGCCCCCAAGAGTCCCCAGTAGATTTAGGCGGCTGGGCTAAAGCCCATGGGGCCCCTCTGGCCTCTTTTGAGGGCCCTTCTTTTTTGGGCCCCCGAAGGCCCTTTAGTCCCAAGTTTTGAAATTGGCCTAAAATATTTTCTGGGGTTTCTTTTGGGCCTCAAAAGCTGCAGCGGCAACCTTTAGCAGCCTCAGGAGAGAAGCTGTTGCTGCAGCCATTAGCTGCTAAGTTGCTGCCAAGTTGTCGCTCGTCCCACATTAAAGAATAAAGTTATTTTAGAATTAAAAGCTTTTGAATTTTCACTTTCTGTCTACCATTCAGCGGCATTGGGCGGCGCCCAAGGCCTCCATAGGGGGCCCCCTAAACTGCCCGGGTTAGCCGGGAGGACTCAAAGTCTCCTTTTAAGAAATTAAGGCCTCAGGGCTCCCTCTAAAGAGGCCTAATCTAAGCACTTAAAGTCCCTGGGGCCTCTAGCCTTGCTAAAAGCCTTGGGGCCCCTGCTTTTGCTAAACAGCCTGGGCCCCCGGTGCTGCTAAAGACCCTGGAGG